CATCGTCGTCATACATACCGGTTTACTGACACCCTCCATTGTGTATTGTTTTTCTTTTATAGATTTGCTAAAAGAGTACTCCTTATTAGATTTTGTTGACAACTCTGATTTAAATCGCATTATATGCCTTCAAAAGGAAGGGACTCTTATTAGCTTTTGACCAAACCATGAATGGTTCACACGGTTTCAAATAATCTTCCGATGGTTTGATTAATTCTACTTCAACACACTTTCATCCCCGAATGGCCGTTTGATTAGACTAGATTAGGATTTTTGTGTTTATTCACACATGTCTTTGTTTAATCTTTTATATACTGAAATAGATATTAGGTAGGCAAACATGTTTTTTTCTTTCTCTATATGTATATGTATATTTAACCTTTCCCAAATCGATGATCGTTGTTCAATCTTCTACGTATTAAGACTTGATTGGTAACAAAGTAGTGCGTTTTTATTGACAAAGATTTGATTATATAGTCTGAACTTTTAAAAAGCTTAAAATCATATCTCAGAAAGTAAATTTAATGGTTAATGAGAGACAAGGAAAAAGAGGGAATAGATGTATCTAAGGAATGAAACGATTTGAACAGTCGATTTACTTGAGATTCAAAATCTAATGTTGGAAAGAAGAGTCCGTAACACTTTAGAATCAGCATGGGTTTTAGCAATTTCCGCCTAAGACCACTGTGTGTACAAGAATTTTAGCCTACATCTTTTTGACACTATTCATTGGCATTNTGGAAAGAAGAGTCCGTAACACTTTAGAATCAGCATGGGTTTTAGCAATTTCCGCCTAAGACCACTGTGTGTACAAGAATTTTAGCCTACATCTTTTTGACACTATTCATTGGCATTATTGCACAAATACGATGGATTATCAACAAGGATAAAACTAAGTAAAATGAAAATGGACCAATGCTGGAATCGCAACAAAAAAATCACTCTACGAAAGTATATAAACTACCACGTTACTTGATACTTATAAGTATACAAATTTCTCTTTTAAGTATACTATTTTTTTTTTGGTTTTATCATGTCGAAGGGAAGACGATAAAACATCAATAGTCCATGCTTATCCAAAGGCTAGCATAGTGGGATCAACGGTATATTTTAGTGTGGATGGAATGAGATATATGGCAAGCTGAGGTTCTTGCGCAAATAGTGAAAAGAGAATCACGTTGTAAAAGAGGGAGGAGAGACTATGTTGACTTTTTTTTTTTTTTTTTTGAAATGCTACAAATTATTGTTATACTTTCCATATATTTATTTGCATATAAGCTCTTTAGTGTTAAAAAGCAATAGACTTCACTATATTGAAGTAACCTAAGTGTTCCAAATCTATATATATAAAGTATAGTTTTATCCCTCCTGGGGGAGCCACGTCAACAAATAGGTGATGGAGGACACGACACGTGTTTTAATATTATAGTACCGAGTTTTTTTTGCTCCATCCTTTGCGATTTTTAATGGGCTTTAAATGGGCACATAACTAAAAATGCGAACATGGAAAAGCAAACCTCATAGAGTTTAGTTCCATCGTCTTCTTCGTTTCATCTTCTTCGATCTGCGACCACCTTAACCATCCATGGAGATTAAGCATATCGTTACAGACGAATCATCTCGAGAAGACCCTGTATCATGTTGTGATTATTTCGTCGTTTCGTATTCACTGAATGAAACCGCAGAGGTTGTTTGATTTGTCTGGATTCAATACTGTTATGAATCTTCTTAACTCCATCGACGCCCATCAGTCACGACGCATTCATTCAATGATACTTTTCTCTGTCAGAGGCGGTGATTCTCCACTTTTAAATAGGTAAAACTTCTTCCTTTGAGAATCGTCCTCACAGTTTGTGATAGTCCCTCAAACGTATTTGCAGTATTATGGCTAATTCATCTGTTTTTCTTCGTGATTGAAGGCCTGTCAATGTTCTACCACCGCCGAAGTGAGGCTGCTGAGATTTTGGGAGGCTAGAAACGTCAAACGAGGTGGGAGTTTCGAGTGGATATGCTTATCCTTGATGCGGAGGTTTTCCGATCTTAAATCTCATGGTTTTTGTTTTTTAATGTTTTTAGGCCTTGACATTCATAAATTTTGAACTGTTTACTTTGGATTTTTGCAGGTTTTCCGATCTTATATATCATGTTCATGGTTATTAAAAGGTTTCCCGGCATCCACATTCATAGATTTCTAACTCATACATATCTAACTTTTCAATTCAGATATCTATTGATCTCTTCACGATTGCTGCACAAAGGAGAACCTAAAGCTTCATTAAACGTTTGGTTTTGATTGATCATCCGTCAGTACCGTAGGTGGTGTTATGATGCTCCTTTAGTATCAAGACGAATTTATGGAAAGGAGATCGATAGTTGGAGTTCAAGCTTATTCTCTTCATCTTGATTTGTAATTTGACACCTTTTTGGGCTGGTAAAATAAAGCTAATTGTTTCGTCCATTTAATACGTAATCTATATGCCTTACGACGTTGCTTTTATTACAGTTAAGGATGTTCATTGCTGATTGAAGCTTGAAGAGGTTTGTTCAATTTAAATCTCAACAGTTTCCTCTGTTATTTTTAGTGTCTCAATATTTTACTTCTTTAATTCACTCATGTATGCAGAAAAAAACTTCCTCCTTAAGTTTACTAATAGATTGTGTTCATGTTTCTTGCTGTTAATCCTTGGAGTTTCTCTTCTGAATTCGACGGAACTGTTAAACGCTTTGAAGTAGATTGATAAACTGAATTGTGTCCTTATTAGCTAAAATTAGAAGAAACCGGTACTGCTTAACGGGAGAAAACAATGGTCATGATTCATCCTAATCAAGATCTTTTGTTTATTAAGCGATAGTTAGTTTGTTATAAAGAAACTTAACATATGGCAGAAAACAATGGTTATTGGTTCTGATGAGGGAGCTTTACCTCATAATGGGTTTTAAGCGAGAGCTTTTGTTTTGTTATAGTTCTGATGGTTTTATTCCATTGTTTTGCAGAGATGAATTTACAATCTGAACCAACTATAGAAACTCTTAACGCTCAGCATGAGTATATGGATGTGAGGACTTGACAAAAACACCAGTAGAAGTGCAAAGTGCAACTCATTCACTCAGACACGAGATCATGGAGGAGGCTGGATACCAACATAGTTAATGACCCTGAGTATTGACAAGTTGATTCGTAACCGTTTTGTTTCCCTTCGCTGCATAAGGGCTCTTCCATTGGAAGGGAGGCTGAGAAGATGGTTTGAAACAAGTTCAGGACACACTTTTTTTTATTCATTCTCAATAGAGGCTATACAACCATCTCCCTATACATGTTTTTCATCTTTTTATCAATAAATTTGATATTTCAACAAAAAGAGAATGACGTCTATAAACTGCAACAAGAAAAATAACATAAATGTTACATTTTTAGAATTTTAGATGGTAAAATAATTATGTATCTTTAACAAAAAAAATAGTGAACTAACCACAAATAATTTTAAAATGAAGAAGATTGTTTTTATTATTTCTTTCTGATTTACACTATAATCTTTAGTTTAGAACAAAATTTTAATTTTCAATTGTTATGTGAAATATACCATATATATAGTTATAAAAGTGTTAATTATTATGTATTTACCCATCCGTAGAGTGGACCGAACCTTAGTATAAACACAGCCATTCCTAAAAACAATAAACATTATTCAACACCGCAAGCATTTAAAACTATTGCTAACAAACATAATATATCTTTTCATATATAATCTCTCTTCACATAAAACTTTCTAAAAAAAACAAAAATTATAATCATATATATCTTTTGTAAATGAAACCAAAAACACAAACCACAAAATTATAAAAAGTAATAACCTAGATCACAAGAAAAGTATATCCCGCCCGTAGGGCGGGCCGACCCTAGTATACTGATAAAATATTTTGTAAAATAATGTACAAACGCAAAACAGAATTTATTATTAACATTTTATTTTATTAAAATTGGTTTGGAACCATATATCATAGAAAAAAATGAAGTATACAGATTGTTGACAAAAAAAAACAAAAACA